CCTGCTTAACGTCGAGCAACATGGTTTTCGCAAAGGATTTTCGTGTCAAACAAACATGCTGGTAACTCGTGAGAGCTGGGCTGAAGCCGTAGACTGTGGACATGTGGTGGATGTGGTGTTCATTGACTTCGCCAAGGTCTTTGACACTGTCCCCATTCGCGACTCTCACTGAAGTTGAAGTCGTATGGAATATCTGGTCGCGCTCTCCAGTGGGTGTCAGCATTTATGGATAGACAGGAACAGTGTATTCGTGTTGGAAGCAGTCTTTCGTTTCGACAAGCTGCACTTAGCGGCGTTCCGCAAGGCTCTGTCCTAGGTCCGCTGCTTTTCTCAGTCTACGTGAATGACTTACCGAGGGAGCTTGAGGTGTCATCGCTCTTATTTGCTGATGACCTAAAGCTCTGGAATATTGTTGATATCCCTGGAGGTCCTGTGGCTCTTCAACGCGCTCTGGATAGACTCTGGGAATGGTCTGTCCTGTGGTTGCTGCCCATAAACCGGGCAAATTGTTCAGTGATGCGTATCGGAGCGTCTGATTCCTCCACAAGTTATGCGCTCGATGGGAGTGAACTTCCTCACGTGACTCATCAGGTTAATCTAGGTGTCGTCCACTGTTTCACACTACACTCTGGAGACAACTGAAAGAAAACGGCTAGTAAAGGGTTCCGGATGTTGTGGTTTATCTGTCGTTCTTTCGGGACCCTAACCGCTGATGTGTTTGTGAAGCTCTTCTCAGCGTTTGTGTGACCCCACCTAGAATATTGCGTCCAGGCCTGTCCACCATGCCTTGTCCGGGACAGATTGACACTAGAAAGGTTGTTGCGTGTCGGTACTAGCTTGGTCGAGGGATTGCGAGGACAGACGTATCCCGAACGCCTACTTAGTTTGGGGATGCATTCAATGCACCATCGAATGATTAGAGGGTACCTAATCCTAACCTACCGCATTTTGACTAGGAAGGTTGGCCCTGATTTGTCCTGGCTATTTAGTCCTGCTAGATTACCTGGTCTCCGCAGGCATTGTATGGAGCTGGACAAACCGCGGTCCGATCGAGTTAGAGCGGAAACACGGTTACCACGTCGTCATCGAGCGCTGGAACTTACTTCTAGTAAATGTTGTCAAGGAAGCTACGGTTAAGGGGTTTGAGCGTCAACTAGATGCTCTTGGGTGGCAACACGATCCTCACTAAGGGTCAGTGTAGGAGGCGGTTCAAACCAATCTTGGAGGAACGCTTTGCACCTCGAGGGCGTGGAGCAAATCCCGAAGTGACGGACAACCAGTGCTAATCTGTCCAATGCCGCTTGGCACGTTTGTGAGCTGTCACAGATATAAGCAATATCATCAGCATACTCTAAGTCAAGACGTCGTTCTCCTGGGAGCAGATCCACAGCTTCTAAGTCGTGTCCTGTAAACGCGATTTGCACGACTTCATCAATAGCGAAGTTAAAGCTGACATCGGGCATCCTTGTCTCACACCGCTGGAGAAATTAAAGGGCGAGGACAGCTTGTCGTAAGCTCACACTCTGTCCGAGCTACGCGCGTATAATGCTCGGATTATATTTACACATTTCTCAGGTACACCTTTCCTCAGTAGACAGTCCCAAAGTGCACGTCTATCCACCGAATCGAATGCATCTTTGATATCGAGGAACACGACAACGGTGGGCCGCCAATATATGTGACGGTGGTCCAACAACTGATTCAAAGTGATAGTGTGGCCAACGCAGCCACGACCTCGACGAAACCCGGCTTGCTCTTCACGAATATGGCTTTCACGAGCGTCAGTCAGTCTGTGAAGGATGACAGCGGCAAGTAATTTGGAGGCGATGGAGATCAAACTGCCTCCTCTATGGTTGCCGCATTCTGATCTTGAGCCTCCCTCGGTTTGGACAGTTTCCTGCTCCCACAGTTTCACTAGTAATTCATGTAAATCATCCACAAGAGCAGGCTCCCGATTTTGAAGAGGGATGGAGGAAGATCATCCTGTCCCGCGGCTTTATTTAATTTCAACAGTGCGATCTCACATTCGACTTCTGAGCGAGAGGGTGGATTCAAAGGGACAGCTCACGGAGCGCGGCGATCACAGGACGCTGAGGGATCTAACAATGCCGACCGATTAAATCGCCTTTCAAATTGTTCAGGCCAACGTTCCAAGCGTTTTGACAAATTGTGGTTAGGCTGTCCACTCTCATCACATATAGTTTCACTAACACTAGGTCTTCTGTTGCCCGTTTCCCCTATCAGACGGAATAACTTTCCATGGTTACCAAGGGCAGCGGCCATTTCCATCTCTGAAGCACGAAGAGACCGCCAGGATACCCGCTCTCTCTTCAGTCTAGCACGGAGTTTTGCCCGGAGCTCTTTGCGAGTTTCACTGTGTTCACTTCCAGTCGGAATATGCTGGCAAGTATCGATAACTTCCAGAGCTTGGAAAGCGACCCAATGTCCATGTTGGCTATTAGACTTACCACCTGAGGACTTGCCTGCTGCTAGTAAGGTCTGGTGAACATGCGACTAGTGACCTTCAACTGCATCCAGTGAGCGCTTACTCAACACGCGTGACAGCGCACTTTGATAGGCATTCAGCGCAGCTGGCTTCGCCAGTTTGCTATTGTCAATGCGCTCACAGCGTCGTCGTTGGCGTCCGCCAAAGCGCATCCGCATGTCAGCAAATACAAGTGCATGGTCGGTGTCCCCACTTGTGCTCCAAATCGAACGACAGTTCTGGACGCAGTCTCTCCATCGGTAACTTATCGCAATGTGATCGATTTGCATCCAAGGCTGGTTGGAGGCTGGTGGGCGTCAAGTCACCCTCCGGCGAGTGATGTGTCGGAAATTCGGGCTAGCAAAAAACACGCGAGCATCCTCAAACAAATGAAGTAACCGCTCACCGTTATCATTACGGGAGCCTACACCGTGTTGGCTGCCCAGATGCAGTTCATCAGGGGATAAACTTCCAGCTTGAGCGTTCAAGTCTCCAGTCAACACAACAGTGTCCGAACTTTTCTGTGGCGAAGAACTCATTCAATTGACGATAGAAATCCTCTTTTACCGACTCATCGCTAGTTTGTCGGTGCATAGGCAGCGGTAATGAATAGACACCTGTTAGTCCTGCGCGACTTCGAAGCTTTGAACGAGCCAGCCAAACGGACCGCACACATCCGGCTACTGATTGGAGTCCCAACAACCAGACCAGCTTCAGCCCGGGGACTCATGGCAACACCAACACCGGCTTGCCCGGTGCTCGAAGCTGCATTGTCACCGGATAGGCGCAAGGAGGAAATACTGCTGGTGTCACCTGAAGTGGATCGCAGAGTGAGCACAGAGCCCGAGTATTGCAGGCGGGTATCCGATAAGCAGCAGATATCGATCAAGAGGGTCTCTAATGTTCGACAAGCGCTGCTTGTTGACTGATCTGTAGTAATGTGCGAACATTAAGGCATGCCAATCTTAAGGAGGATCGAGGGCTTTAGATCGAATCCGATGAACTGGAGTGGACCACTTACATGGACATGGACCTGTTGACAGGGCAGGAATGACGCTCCGCGTTCACATGTGAGTTGAAACTAGAAGACAAGCGACTATTGAAGCAAAGTAGGGGATGGCCAAGAACTGGAGGTTAGAAACAGGGGGGACAAAAGTGAAGCTGAAACGGGACGATGAGGTTGAAAAAGCGTAGGATGGGGCATAAGGAGAGGGGAAGGCTTTAGCAGTAGTCTCCATACCTCTATCTACCCTACTCGATGGAGCAGATAGGGCACAGTTGATTATCCTCTGCGGTGGCCAGAGAATCAGGAATTTTTTTGAAGAGTGGTTCATTGTATTGCGTGGGCAGGATACTGTCAGGTTGCCCAGGCCTGTACAAGAGCGCGATTAGAGTTCTCAGTTAAAGCCTTTGGTTCAAAAACCTGACCGCAAGGCAGCGGGTTTGGCGTTGGGCTACAAGGAGTCCGTGTTAAGGAATAAGGTGTCATTCTCATTCCAATCACTAACCTGGATTACCAGCAGGCTGAGTTTGTGTGGCCTCTAACCATTGAAGGTGCAAAATGCACCACCCAGTAAAGCTCTATGGATCACTGAGGCACACAAACCATCGCACCACGGTAAGGTCCAGCTCATCGCGGTGGTCTGGGACATTTTCCTCATGTAAGATATATGTATATGCATATGTATATGTATATATATGTATATATGTATATGCATTACGGATACACCAATCATCATCAAGCTGGAAATTCCGGGTATGGACCATGTTTATCATGGGGTTTCTTTTGACGCGTGTTACATTTCTTTATCTGGTTTTCCAGTTCTGTTGTGTTTCCGATTACATATAGTGTTGTAAATAAATCACTAACAATCATCTTTAAGTCCTTTGTTTCGATGCGGATGCCATGTTCGACATCTCGTCACGTAGGTATGTTACAGCTGCCCTAGCAGCTTTGTGGTATCGAGACCTCTAACTCAGTGCTCTCTTATTGGTTTTATATCCGTACTTTTCATGATTATTACTGTACACAAACTGACATTCCGCATTGGTCATTTGCTACTCATGATGGAGATGACAGATTATAATCTTTTTTCCTAATACGATGATTCTGATTATTGAGACCTACATACACATCGGACACGGAAGCCCCCGGGTATCCTCCACATGAAGCATATTACATATTTGACAACCCTACGAGTACCCGACAGCCGTCCGCAAAGCTACATGGTAGCCTTTGAGGCGATCATTTATTTTCCTGTAACTATGCTTTTTGTCGCTGAATTTGAACCTAGCACACCGCACCCATCAGTTGTACGTCTGCACGCCGAGACCGACTAGTGCTTCCGTAGGCGCTGAGGACAGGGCCTGCCAACAGGGTCCGAGCGTTGCCTAGTTGCGATCCATAAAGTAAGATCGCTGTATCTCGGTTAGACGACCGCTGTTGTTTCGTCTTCTCTTTACCTTTTCGCTTCATTTACAGTCATAACCCATACTTGTTTTCACCATCCATTCAGCTCAGGCTCTACCCCTGCGGTAGTTGTGACAACGCCATCCGGTTCGTCACGAACAATTAGACAGTCGCACGTTACGTTTGGCGCGGTCTCTAACTCGGTGCTTTTGATAATTTCATCCAGCCACCGAGGTATCTGTTTTCATTGCTACCCTCAAGTCTCTTGCGTCCTGCGTACATCTCGAACACAGAAGCCCTCGGAATCCTCTGCCGGACGCATCTTACACTCTTTTTGTTCGTTTCTACGACTTAGTTTCTCGTTGTTACTTATATTATGAGGTTTACTACACGGAAAAAGAATACGGAGGATCAGAACCTGAGTCTGAAGAAAGAGATTGGTTTACTTCAAGGCGTCGGCATTGTTATAGGAATTATTATTGGCTCAGGCATTTTCGTCTCTCCCGTGGGCGTCTTGGCTCAGTCGCGATCAGTTGGACTTTCGCTTGTCATGTGGTTTGTGACCGGAGTCGTCAGCGCTCTCGGTGCCATCGTGTACGCAGAATTGGGTGTTACTATACCGAAGTCCGGCGGGGAGTACACTTACATATTTGAAACTTTTGGACCTTTCCCGGCTTTTATTGCCATGTGGTCAACTTTTGTCGTTGTCGGAACGGTCGGATGTGCCGTTAATTCTTTAGCTTTTGCTCAGTACATACTACGTCCTCTATATTTTACTTGTGATATCCCTGAAAGTACACTTCATATGGTGGCTATCCTGGCTTTGCGTATGTCAATCCCTTTCATTAATCAAGACGGCTTTCAGTAACATTGTGCTTTATCAATTGCTATCGAGTGACATGGGCTACACGGCTCTCGGTAGTCTTTACCGTTTGTAAGGTATCCGCTTTGTTATTGATAATTGGATTCGGTTGCTACTATTTGGCCAGAGGTATGCTTTGTTTGTCCCTAAACTTTTTCTCAAAGGCAGCACTAGAAGCTTCGAAAATCCATTCGAGGACAGTGCCACATCACCTGCTGCTTTAGCCAGCGCTTTTTATCAGGGGTTTTGGGCTTTCCAAGGCTGGTAAGTGTTACCCTAGCATTTTGGTGCCTCCAGTGTCTTGTATTTGATGTACCGTCTTAACTGTTCCAGGTAGTTGAAGTTTATCTGCATTTAGCAGCTAATACTTTCGTTCTTGGCTTACTATTCTCAGTCGTTGATTAAATGTGAACAGCCCACTAGGCAGAGTGGCAGAACATATGGTTAAGACAACATCGTTATAGGTGACTATCTACATTTCAATATCCACCGCCCTCTAATATGCCTGCCATTGTGTGCTACTTTTTGTCTTCAAGTTCAAGTCCGAAGGCGTTTCTACTCAAAACTGCTCGTTGTGCTCGAGCCCCCAACAAATGAGTCGAATGTGCGCACATGGGATTTAAGATGCAATTGCGAACCGTATAGCTAAAAATCGATGCGCTTTTGCGAAACCTGGCCCACCGGGTTGTCAGACCTAAAGTGGATTTCTATGTAGATAATGTCTGATGAGAACACCGCTTGAGCAATGAGCTTGTTTGGCGTCGCATATTTGGTGCAGTCAGAACGACTGAACCGCTCAATGTCGTTATGTCACGCACCAGGCTCTGATGGCTGAGCCACGTTTTGCGCATGTCAATACACCGACTCACGCTTCATGCGTTATGTGAGCGATCGGGGTGTGGATGGCAAAGGAAAAGAGAAGTCCGAGCGATGACTTGGTCAGGAGGAATGAAAACCATCACTTCGAAGTTGGTGTCTTCCGGCTGCTGGGCTGGAGTCCGGACGATGAACAGGTCTGTTGGATACACGTGTTGAGATGGCAAGGAGCTGATCTCAATGGTGTTTGTGTTGAGTTTCTTTGTCCTTCCGCCTCTCGCTTATCTTCCCTTTCTCGCTTGTCTTCTCCCACCAACCACGACCTCACATCCGAATCGTATATTGCATTCCGTAATGTTTTGTATCGTCTTTTTCATATACCTGATCTTTCTGTATTGTGACACAATAGCTGAAGTGTTTTTTACCTTCAGCTTATGTGTAGTGATGACGATGATATGCACACGCTTACGCTACAACGATTGGATGACACACAGGACGTGATCATACCATCTCAACTGTTGCAACAAAACCAGCTTTTTGAATAAAATACTCGCATTCCCTACGATACGACGTCTGACTTCACAGCTACAGATACTACAAGTGCAATGCTATTCAGTCATCGAAAACCGGCGCATTTAATCCACACGAACTGACCACGACGGGCTTCCATATAGCAACATCACTCAAACGGAGGCCTTCTAAACGTGGCCCTTTATCTAGAGGAGGACATCCCGACAGCACCACAAGTGTTTAGGGTTGACAGACACTGACAGTGCTTTGGCGATGCGGCGAGAAATTTCCTTTCCACAGCAGACACACAGCTGACCACTTGAGCAAAGCCACCCATGTGTTCAAGCTGTGTACCTCCAAGAGTGAGCACGGGAACGGATATGTGCTAATCTTGTGGCAGCCTATCACATTTTGAGGGAACAAGGCACATGCCTAGATGTGACTGTGTCCTCATTAAGGATTTCCTTACCTGTGAGATGGAGAAAGCCAGTGCCATTGGGGACAACCGAGTGCTATTCCAGCACATCCGAGCCACGGATCAGAGAATGTCATCAGTTATCGAGACACTAGCTGCGAAAGGCGGACATTCGATCTCTTCTTACTTTCGTCACTAGCCCGTTGGGTAGAACATTTTGTAGAGCAGTTCAGCAGGCCAGCTGCGACACTTTCTCTTGCCGAATCACTTGAGGCGACGTTGGGAGTAGATGTCGCACATACAACTTTGGAATATATTCGACAGCTTTCCTTGTTGAAACCAAATATCTTGGGCCCGACGACCTTCCCCCATCTCTGCTGAAAGATGGCGGTGCTTTTTTGTTGACATGGCGTGCTCTTCTTGTTAACACAATTTGGGACACTGAAGTAGTGCCTTCAGACTGTCAGCTGTCTTACCCATCTTCAAGAAGGATCAGTGTACAGCGAGACAGCAACCTAGTTTTCGTTTCCTCAAACGTTCTCATGGGTATCATACTTCGACCACTTACTGGTCCCGGTGAGGACCGAATTACTGAAAGCCAGGCTAGCTTACGCCCTAGCCGTGGTTTGCATCGACCACATATTAATTCCACATCAAGTTTTAGAGCAGACACACACAGAGGACTGGCTATCATGATTTTCCTAGATTTGAAAGCCGCCTTCGACTCTGTTGATCGAGACAGCTTGAGGCATTGCTGATTTATGAAGGACGTGTTAGCCAAACTCCTTTCCATTCTGAAGTCCCTCTACCGTAACTCTTGAGGCCGTGTAAGGGTCTACGGGAAACTGTCTCCTGAGTTCCACACGACAAGTGAGTTCGCCGGGGTTGCCCTGTCTCTTCTCTTCAATTTCGTTATCGATAATGAGTGACTCCATTTTTCAGTCTCTATCTGATTGCATGTTCTGCCAGGTAACCATCTGACAAACCATCTTTACTCTGCGAGTCATCACTAACTAACGCAGTCATCAACGTAGTGCAGTTGGTTGCTCGTTTACCGTTCAGTAGCTACAGGCTACATTTTGGTAACCTACAAAAACTCTCGATGGGACATCTTCATTCGCGCGATTGTGGTGCGCCGGAGACATATGGCAGCCCTGTTATACACTGCTATTGACAGCAAGGGAAGAAGAAAGCTTTACATTAACCCTCAATCTACCTTAGACATGGAGGTATGGTGCATGTTAGATGGCAGTATACTTTTCTGGAACCCCGTTCCTTAGCGAGCAGGAAAGCATCAGCAGTACGCCTTCACACTGTGTCGACACTTCGCCTCCACCTGACCACGACCAATCGCGCGTGGACCTATTATCCCGCAAGGTTGCCTGCGCCTACGCGGATTTTGGACCGGTGACCCCCGGATTACAGGGCCATCGCGCTATTCTTTCGTCATTAGCAAGCAACGATATAAGACAAGCCAATCAATTGAGTCGAATCCAGTACGGTCGTCGGGGGAGGTAATGAGGGTATCTGGCGGAGGTGGCGTTCGTGGAATTAGTGGTGTGTGAAGATTCGCTCCACACGCCCACGGCCAGGACTAAACTCGGTTTGTTTTTTCGGTATTGTGATTCACTGATCGAAAATAGTCTACTAGGTAGAATAGATGCCATTTACTTGGAGGCAACCAGATAAGCTTGACCCCTAGTGTTTAACGCATGAAGTGCGAGCACCCTTCTTACATGTTGGGTCAGCAGATGAGTTGCCTCAGGAAGGAGGCAACTTTCCTGCATGCCAAGTTTTGAAGAACAATATGACTATTTGGCTGATTGTTACTGCGCTGCCATATTTGAACACCGATTGGGGAAGTCCGTCTGATCCGGCTGCCTTGAATCGCTTCAAGTTTTGGATCTCAAGCTAAATTTCCACTTCGCTGGTTGGATCAACTTTGACAACCCGAAGCAGGCAACTGGTTCCGCAGGACATACAAGTGGACGGTGAGGCCCAATTGAGCTAAGAATACAAATGCTCGACCCAATAATCTAACCGTCGTCGTGGGTTAGCGATCGGCGGAACATCCTCTTCGCCAATATCCTTACTTACATCGGGATTTCCGTTTTCACTGAATGAGCTGGAAGCACTTGCGTGTGTTGCGAGATAGGGCAGCAGCCTCCGAATCACGCGGGGGCCACCAAGCTTCGAGGTCACTACAGTCTTTGTTTGGGCTGCCGGCGGATGTTGGGGTATTTTTGCGGAAGTAAACCAGATCCAGTCAGTGCGCAGACATCCATGCTTTCATGGGGTACCGAGAGAGACTGCAGGAAGAGCTAATCGTCCTCTGCATGAACATCCATCGGTGGATTGCAGCTGAACGCATTCTCCATTGAAAGTTGATATTTCAGGAGAGCCGAGGGATCAGCTAGTCTTTCTGTATTAACCCTCGTTTCCATGGAACTTCTGAGACTTATTCAGACTATATCATTGCCTCAGGTAAGACATATGGACCAGTTTGATGTATAATCTCTTCCCTTCTTTCTGGAACTGATTGCGATGTGGTCAATTTGAGACCGTGCTTATATCGATGGATATTAGCACCAAGTAGCGGACATCTCTTATGCAAACAGCTGGTGATCGAGAGGAACATATGCTTGCCTTCACACAGTTGTCTGAACTGTTCTCATCGAGCGCCTGATGGCCATCGAGGTGACGTTTACGTAAACGACCAACCAATGCTTTGCAATCCAAAGCAAAGATAACAGTATAGGATTTGCAAACTCACCCCAAGAGTTGAAATTCCCCATAAAAGTTGTTCCTGGCCGAGTCAATTAGAGCTTTCGCAAAGATCACAAACAAGTTACATCTGTCCTCGAGACGCTTGTTGATCCACACGAGCTCCGAAGCCGAATTGCACACAGTCGGCTGTTGATGGGTAACCAGTCCAGTAATGCGGCCTTGGTTTTGGTGCTTAATGTTACACTAAAATCAAACAAACTTGCTGCGGCTGCTTATGTATCGTCAGATAAGCGTGGGTAAAACACGGCTCAGTGAGCGACGAGGATGTCAACTTAGTTACACTGCTGGGATCTTGCAATTGGGTTTCGGGGAGACAGCAAACATAGATGTCGAGGAACTCTAAGGTACGCGCTAGACCAGCCTATTGCCTCATTTGCGCGAGTGTACACACATGAATTTATCTCAAACGGAACACGAATCGAGGCGTAAGAAGAGCCACTGGTTTAGCTCTATGGGCGTCAACGAAACCATCGGGAGTAGGATCATGGAAACGGATCAGTTGTTAACGTACACCAGGTATACCGAGGCTTCTAGAAGATCTAAGAATTCGACCTGCTCGTGGTTATCACGTGCATCTGACGTTAGGAATATGCCTGATGTGCTTTTTGTGTGCTTTTGCATCTTGGCACATTAATAAGTAGTGGACCAAGTAAGAACAATACCCTTGGCGTTGCGCTAAACTAATCGTGCGTTTACGTTTCTAACTGATGCACAAACACCTGGGTGCGAGAAATCT